CAGGTTACATAGCTGTTGTTTAATTCTTTTATGTATTCATATGAATTCAGAATATTTTTCATATCTGTATGTCAAAACTAAAAATCCCAACTCACGGCCATCAAGTTGGTTCTGACCCCTAGTGACACCCTTTGGGTTTCCGAGGTGGTTAATCTTTGTGGAAGGAGATGGCCCAGTCTTTCTTCTGCAGAGTGGCTAGTGGGTTTGAATAGCCAGCCTTCTGGCTAGCGGTCAAATGCTTTAGGCACTATGCCATCAGAGCTCATTATCTGTATGTGTATATGTATGTATGTAGGACTGATCAAATATACTAGCATTTAAAAATGGTTTTGATTATTTCAGTGTTATTTGCACATTAGTTTTGAACAATGAATCATTTTAATTTTAGTTTAGTTTGTGTTACCCTATAGCACACACTCATCTGTGGTAGTGTATTTTTCTTACTGATTGTTTCTTACCTGTCTCTAATGGAAGCCCTTCTGGATGGGAAACTTTCAGTGGGCAGAGACTGTCTGATTTGTTCATTGCTCTATCTTCAGCACCCAGAGTACTGCCTAACTTCTCATAAGTACTCAGTGATGATTTATTGAATGGATGAATTATAATTTCATTCATTCTGAAAAGAAGTATAGGTGGCTATTAGGAAAAGTTATCCATGTGCGCATATAAAGAGAAATGAAGAAACTCCAAAGGCAACATATAATATTAACAACTCTATAGATTTCATCTTAAAATGCCAACTATTGATAAACCCAAAAAAAGGGGAAAAAAAAATAATGTACAAATACACAAACTGTCAGATGCATGGTTTATATATTTATATCTAAATGTATATGTATACCTACCTACCTTATAAGCCTGTTGGCAATCAATTCTATATTGATTGAAAATATAACATGAGGTTGTTGAGGAGCAACAAGATACAATTTCCTTTGACAGACATCTAGAAAGAACATTGATAAGGGAACAGAAGACCTGAATTACTCAAGAAACCACATAGACCTACTAGAGATAAATAGAACACTCCACCCAACAACAGCACAATATACATTCTTCTCCAGTGCACATAGATCATTCTCTGGTTATACCACATGTGAGGTCACAAAGCAAGCCTCAATAAATTTTTTTAAATTGAAATTATACAAAGTATTTCCTCCTACTAGAGTGTTGTGGAATTATTTTAAGTAGATAGAAAGCACAGCCCCATTCCTTTTAAAAACACCTGTATAAATAGATCCACCTCTCACCTATCAGTTTCTCGTACTGTGGTAGTTTGTGTGTTGCTGTGATGCTGGAAACTGTGCCATCAGTATTGCACATACCAGCAGGGCACCCATGGTGGACAGGTTTCAGCAGAGCGTCAAGACTAAGACTAAGAAGAAGGCCCTGGCAATCTATTGAAAAATGTGGGCAGTGAAAGCCTTATGGATAGCAGCAGAACATTGTCTGACATAGTGCCAGAAGATGACCCCTCGAGTTGGAAGATACTTAAAATACAACTAGAGAAAAGATGCCTCCTCAAGTGGAGACAAC